CTCAACAACGTTATTTAGGGACGGCCCCTTGTGTCATGATAGATATAGCTTCTTTTGACCTTTTTGTGCGTAAAATTGGACCGAGTTTAGTGATGAAGGAACCAAACAGAAACAATATACTTCAAAGACTCCCTAATAATTAATCTAAGTAGTGTGATCGAGTGAGGTAGAATATAAATAAAATTTGGAGGTCAATGTAATTTTTAGCCTGGTGATGATTTCTCTCAGTGAATTGAAAGGTGAAACAAGCTATCTATCCAAGAATCGTTTGTTCACATACACTTAATCGGAGGATTAACCGTGTTGATAACTTTCAAGAATGGAGATCATGAGTGAGGAATTTGCGATTTGACTGTAGATTCTTATGTAAAAGTTTGCGAGAAACACGATGATGCCACTGGTTTTCTCTGAAATCAATTCCCAAGCTCAAAAAAAGGTCTCCAGTTGAGGTCAAAATGGAGGAAATATCCCACGCTATCCTAAGAGTCCACGTCTACATCAAGACAAACTCTCTGTGCAAAGATAGGGAGCAAATACATTGACAGGGCTGCCACTTTATTTGAAGACTCTAAAACTGAAAACACGGCAACCCTGCTAATGTATTTGTTCCCTATCTTTGCATGGAGAGTTTGTCATGATGTAGACGTGGACTCTCAGGGTAGGGTGGGATATCCCCTTCATTTTGGCCTCAACTTGAGCGCTTTTTTTGAGTTTGGGAGTTGATTTCAGAGAAAACCAATGGCACCATCGTGTTTTTCGCAAACTTTTACGTAAGAATCAACAGTCAAATCGCAAATTCCTTATACATGCAACATCTCCATTGACAGTGACGGTGCATAACGTCAGCCCGTATTGTATCTAGAGGCGTTAAGGGTGGTTTGAGAGAGTCCCGCCTCGCAAGAGGGTAAAAACTTGAAACAAAAAGGAAAGAGGGGCCTCGTGTGAGGTGCTCGACCAATTTACGCTGCTTCTTGAAACTGGGAGGGAACGTAAAAAATGCTCGCTTACATCCCCATGATCTATCTCGTTGAGGCGTCCGAGGCAGCGCACGTGTTGCAATTCCTTCACGTCAACCCTGCGTGTTGCGAGATATTTATGGGGTGAGAAGGTCACTCCGCTGATACGAGCAACTGACGGGAAGCAGCAGAATAAATATTGATTCGCCACGTAGTTGCCTGAACTGAGGTGTGTCGATGGTTTAATCGAAAACCGCGCATTGTTATCATCGCGTGGTAATTGCAAAACAAAGTAAGATTACTCATGCGGTAAAAATTTGCAAGACAAGTCTTTTGTTTGAAATTTCTGACTATAATTTGATACCATGTTCACTACGTCATTGTGGTTTAGTCAGGCAAAATGGACCTCAAGGGGGAAAACCGGAAACTGAAAAGCTTAATTTCTACTGTACCGGAAATGTGCCCCAATCGAAAACTCGACACAACTGGAAATCGACCCGACCGGAAATGTGTTCCAACCCAAAATTTGGTTGTTCTCGGGTGGAGAATAACCAATTTCTATACCAATATATCATTGATTTTCCTAGAAAATCGCAAAAAATCGATACAAGCGATTGATATATCGACTCGTTAACGTTAAAATTCGATTCTACAAGAAAAAATACGTAGGTTTCGGTGTACCAAAGTCATATTAGGTGCATTTAGTCATCCATGAATCAAAGCCGAACAATTTCAATCTCAATAAAAAAGTCGCTTCTCCGTAAAGAATCTTAAAAAATCGATATAACCGATCGGTGTATCAACTCGTCAACATTAAAACTCGATTTTGCGTGTAGTAATACGTAGGAACCGGTGTGTATTACATGTGTAAACGACGATAACAACCCTGTAGACACATCAATTCAACAAGAAAATAGCGAAAAATAAGGCCGGAGTTTGACCCTTTTGCCCCCCCCCCCGGTAACTCGAAAACGGTTCCTATACTCATTTGAAATTTTTTCCTGAGTTTTCTGTCATTATAAGCTTCCACTTAAACCTTGGTTCGATGGTCGAATCGAATACCGAAAAGGGGGCGAAATTTTGAGATGCTCTTTCTTGAATGTGACCATACGCGGGGAAAGAAGACAAAACATCCAAATAAGAATGTTAAATCGAAAATTTTTCAGAAATAAAGTAATGATAAAAAAAGGAATGAACAAATCTCACCAATTCTCCAACTCTCTCTCCAAAGAAATTTAATTTTATAGTTTTGTTAAACGTCGTGCATTTTAAACCACAGTGACCAAGTAGAGAAACAACGCCAATCAAACAAAAATATATAGGCTCAACTGCCCTGCGACGCGCGATCATTGCTACGTGAGGATGCGACTTTCACCAAGGCGCTGCATACAACTATTCGTACTCGATGGATGTGCGTGTTGCATACGCACCTAATTGAAGGCGTTTTAACTTTCCTCGAGCTCGCCACGCAATTGTCACCCTGTGCGTTCATGTTTATACAGGACATTCATGACAATCCCGTGAATCTCTACATTGGTTTCATCAGTCAGTGATGAATAATATTAGTATCGGTTTACAGAGAGTACTCTTTGATGTTTTCAGTGCAAACCGCAATGGGCTCGTTGCAAACTTTTACTAGAGGAAAAATAAGAGTTGTTTCACATGGAAGGAAGATATGAGTGAGGGGGCCTCAAAAATAGTTTTCTGTTATTATAAGCTTCCACCTAAACCTTGGTTCGATGGCCGAATTGAATACTGAAAAAGGGACGAAAGTCAGCCCCTATTTTGGAAGGCTCTTTGAGAAAGCCGCAGTTGAAGTTTTTTGGAAGTGTTGACAGCTTGAGAAACGGTCCAGTTCAAGCGCTCGTAACTACGTAAAATGCAAAGTGCACTTGAAATTTTGACCCCATGGCCATGATCCACTACCAATCAGGTTTAGATCAAATGGAGCTAGCTGATATGGCAGTACTGCTGAGACCTACAGTCTGTAGAGCTGGACCTTAATGTTGTAGGGCTCAGCACTACTGCCATATCAGCTGGCTCCATTTGCTCTAAACAGTTAGTGCTCAGCACTATATCGTTTTTTTCGTGATTTTTTAGTGTTTTACCGTTAAGAAGCGACAACAGAGAGAAAACATTGTCTCGCAGTAGTCGAGAAATATTTATCGACGGGCGGTCTGAAGATGAAAGCTGGGTGAAAGCGTCATCCCCGATTCGATGCCGCGAAGTGTGAAGCGGTGAGGGTTAGCGAAATTCCGATGAGTCGGCGGTTTTTTATTCGATTCCGTTCTTTAACTGTGACTGCGGGCTCCGCGGCCGTGCACGCGAGGGCCACGTCCGATCGATTATCGATATTTCCCTGTATGAAGCTATGGTAAAGAATCGATTAAGAAGGCGTTCGTTGCGAACAACCTGTTTATCGATCCTTTTCCGTAGGTTTAAATGACGGATCAATCGATTTATCGCAAAGCACGTCACGCTACTGGCCAATTGCGAAGGGAGGGGAGCGTCAAGGAGCCGCGCTCGCCACCGCCAATCGTCGCCTCAGTCCATACTCGATGCAATTCTCGGCTTCAATTCGAGAGTCCGAGTTTATCCTTGTTGCCAATGATTTAAAAAAAAACTAGATTATTTGGATAGGGAGAGTGTGGACATGCCAAAAAATGGAGCTCTTATTGGAGGGTATAGATTTGATCGAGATGAATCGATCGAAAAATAAAAACGAGGATTGATCGACGCGAACCGATCGACACCGATTCGATCGACATATTATTCAAAGACCGGTGTCAATTCGATCGACATGAATCAATCGAGAAATTAAAACGTGAACCAACCGACATGAATCGATCGAGAAATTAAAACGTGAACCAATCGACGTGATTCCATCGACAAAATTTGGTCGATTCATGAGTTTGTCGATCAATTTACAGAATTATCGATTGATTCACGGGTCTATCAATCGAGCCCGGAGTTTTCGATCGATTCCTGGGTTAGTCGATCGATTCGCGGTTGTCGATCAAATCACGTCGACCAATGCACGTTTTTATTTTTCGATCGAGCCTTATACAGAAACGAAACATAATATGGGTTTTCATCATTTTTAAATCGACGGATGGTAATAACTGTAATTACAAGCAATTTTGTGAATAGTTTGATTTCTTGAGTTGGCTACTCTTTTCTGCCCACAGAGTTCCATGACCTATTGATTAGACTTAACTTCCAAAATGATCGGCATATCCATACCTTCCTTATCTAGTTACTAGTTATCTAGTTAGGAAAGTAAATCGAATGGACCACTAGACAAGGTGCAAATTTCAGCATTCTGATACATGCTTTTTAACCAAAATTTCACGTAGAACACGATGCGCACAACGAAAATTACCGAAATCAACTCCTTACGAAGATATTTAATGATTCCTGATGCGTGAATTCAAACCACCCGCTCATGAAAACTCAATGCTCTACGTGATTCACATCACGCGCTAAACGTTATCATGACAGTCTCTGCGATATAAAAATCTGACAACCTCAATCTTGACGCTTTGGCTCAGCTATAGCAAATTGCTAATAGTTTGAACAACACATGGTGGGAAATGAACATTGCTCGATTGAGAAGCTTGCTGAAACCGATGTAGTGCACGATTTGACGCACGTAGAGCTTTGAGTTTCTTGTGAGCGGGCAGTTCAAATTCCTCGTAGCCAATGAGAAATAAAAACGTTAATATCTTCGTTAGGAGTTGGTTTCAGTAATTTTCGTTGTGCGAATAGTGTTCTACGTGAAATTCTGATTGGGAAACATGTATCAGATTGCTTGAATTCTTACCTTGTCTAGTGGTCCATTGCTCAACAATCCAAGAAAAGGAATGATTTCGGAGGTTAATTGGTGGAGACGGACCGCCGAGATTAGAAGTTTCCTTTCAACTTTGAGAAAGAGACTTGGCAATGAAACGTTGGGAAATTAAATTCTTTTCAGTGGTGGTAATTTTAAGAGTTCATAAAAGATACACAAAACTACATAAAAAACATTATGCGTATGTTACGTACTGTGTCACTTAAGCGAGGAGATTTGATTCAAAACATGAAATGCCGAAGAAGCAATTGAAAATTTTCGAATGTAACGGCAGTTTCATTGCAAGAAGGAGCATAGAATCAACACGATTTAAACTACACGAGGGATAGGCACGATGACATAACACATTATTGATAAGTCATGTAAAATCCTTGAGGACTGTAGAAGCCAACAACCATTTGTAAAATTGGATGAACATGTTGGAGATATGCACAGCGTTGAACCAAATAATATGGTTTACATCGTCCAACGATTCGAGTAAGGATTTGTAGCACCACACCGAACCTTGAAATGCTGCCAACCACGATGGAAGAAACGCGACCATGGCGAAAAAGTGAACGAAATTATTCTCAGATTATTCTGCAGAAAGATCAGGGGCTTGCTGAAATAGGTACTCCGGTAGAATCCGGAGTGAACTGTTCGTTTCATTCAAAATATTTAGTCCACAACAGAATTGATAATTATTTCATGTGATGACTTATCACGTTTAAATGAGATTATGAGTGATTTCTTGCTCGATAACTTCACGTTGTGTGTACGGAGAATAACAAAGTATTAATAGTGCTGCCGACGCGTTGCGTCACTCGTAAGCATGAGACTCGTAAAATGGTCACAGCCCCCCAGTTTTACGGCATTACTAAACCAACTTTTCTTGCTTATCGACTTACTTACGAAGTCGGGAAACATATTGAGTCAGTCAATGTTTTTCACAGCACGAAGTATGGTCCTTGTACCTACTCCTTGTAGAGATAAAAACCAACGAGAGAGGAAAAAGAAGTGAGCGCAAATTGTATGATACATTTTTCGTTGTTTACTCGATTGCTCCTGCTTGTTTAATCGAAATAATTTGTTTCGTGGGTAATCGTGTTCAGTTTTCGTCTTAACTCCGGTCGATTACTCGACTTTTACTAATTTTTCTTCCCGCGTAAACTTGTTTTAGGAACGCGGGAGCCCAGTTCCGTGGAGACGGTAACTGGGAAAAATCCCAGAAGTTTCATTCCTTGATTCGAACTTGGGACAAATCCCATGAAAACGTCCCGTGGAGACAAGACCGACATTGCCGTGCTAAGAAAAAACGCCGTATGAGCATTGGAATGTTGCCAAATTGCCTCTTAGAAAATATTAATTTTAGACCACAGTAATGCATTTTTTCCTTGCTATTTTCTTAAATCTCAGATAAAATTTGGAGCGAAATTCTATGATAAATAAGAAAAGGAATATTTATAAATTTACTCGAAAATCCCACTGGGAAAAACTGGGAAAAATCTCAGAAGTTTCATCCCTTGATTCGAACTTGGGACAAATCCCATATAAATGTCCCGTGGAGACAAGACCGACATTGCCGTGCTGAGGAAAAACGCCGTATGAGCATTCGAATGTTGCCAAATTGCCTCCCAGAAAGTATTTATTTTAGACCAATATGCATTTTTTCCTCGCTATTTTCTTAAATCTCAGATAAAATTAGGAGCAAAATTCTATGATAAATAAGAAAAGGAATGTTTAGAAATTTTGTCAACATCGTTGTACAAGGCCACTCGCAATGGATACAGAAGAGCGCCTTCAAATCAATCCGTAAACTAAATGCAAAATTCGGATACCACTATTCGTACGTCACGGCAGGCATTTTGCATACCCGGCCATTTGAAGGCGAATCATTGACTTCAGGCAACGGGGTACGAATTACAGCAATGCCATTCGATATTCTCAGATAAAATTAGGAGCAAAATTCTATGATAAATAAGAAAAGGAATATTTATAAATGTACTCGAAAATTCGTGTTTTGTCAAATGAAATTTTGCAACGTCTGAAGGCTCGTACGGCGTTCTCCCTTAGCAGGGCGGTACGATTCCGCCATCGATATCACACCTGAGATTACAATGTATAACTTCAACGAGTCTTTGGAGCCAGGCGCATTATCGTAATTCCGCCGCTAATTGTGCTCGGAGCTCGTAAGGATGCATAATTAAAAAAAGCGCAAGGTGGGAAAACTTGCCCGGCGGGGGAGGGGTGGGGGCTGAATCACGTGAGTGCGTCATAACAACGGCTAATTTACATAGGCAGAAAATACAAACAATCATAAAAAAAACCCGAGGGGAACGAGCTGGGGAGTCGGTGTTGGGCAGACGGACACCCCCCCCTCCCCCATCAAAGGTTCGAGAAGGGTGCCTTGATTACTTCTTCTCATGCACGGATACATTTTCGCCGCCGAGTCAAGGAAATGCGTGCGCCACCTCTCATGATAGCTGACTCGGTCGATGTTAAAACCGCGTATGTGTACTGAAGGATGAACCGTAGGAAACGGCATTCTTGCGGCACTCAGGACTCGTTAGGATATGAATTTAATAGGTTTTAGCATTGACTTGGTCAGCTCCAATTTCGACGGGGACGATCGCGTAAGTTCAGGCGCGGTTGTCAAATACGCTTTTTTATCTTTTATTCAGTTCGTTGTTTCACTGAAAAAAATTCTCGGCGTTTTTACCAAGGTCCGTTGGTACCTTTACCATCTCACTTTTTTTTACTAATTATTGGTGATTTTACCAAGACAGACTGGTAAACTTACCCCAAAACCGGTATTTTTACTGTTTTTTTTTCAGGTGAGAATGCCACTTTTATTGATAATCAATTCCCGGTAACTTTGCCATTTTATCTCGGTAATTCTACCACAGTCGATAAGAAATATTGGCGTTTTTACCAAGGTCCAGTAAAATTACCGAGAAAGTTCAATAATTTCACCGAGATATCTCAGTAAAATTACCAATTCCATAAATGGTAATTTTACCAAGTAAAAAACTAGGATCAAATAGAACCCCGAATTCTTGGTAATTTTACCCTTTTCTTAGTAAATACACCGAGATTTTTTTTTTCAGTGCACGATGGAACGTAATTACATTTGGATGTTTCCAAATTCCATCTCGCAAATAGCAAGAATCATGGGTGTATCTAGCTGAAAATTTCACTGTTTTTCCATCTGATCTCTTGCGAAAATCAGACAAATTTTTGACGAAAATTGCACAGGTACATTCATGTAAAAAATCAAATTGTTTGAGTCAGATTTACGACTTGGAGTGGAGTTAAGTTCCTACGTCCGGGAAACGACATATGTAGAGACAACAAAAATTATATATCTATTTTACAATAACTATGTATATAAAGCGCGATTCAGGATTATGAACAAACATAAGGGTAGTGGACTCAAAGTTCTGACTTATGAATATTCCTGTGCAAGGTCTGCACATAGATATTACATTAATTCTAGATACCTGCGACACGAGAACAGTTCAGTCACAAGAAACGAAGAGCATATAATTGGAAGCATTTTGATGGTGAAAATTACAAGTGCCTGTGTCTGTAAGAAACAGTGCTGCTATTCCCCGGAATTAATTCTGGATTCCGGGACTTCTATAATTTCCAGGAACTTCAGTCGGAATCTTCAAAGTTCCCGAGATTACGAGCTATTTAAGGGATTTTCTCGGAATTTCGGGGGTCAGTCCGGCCGATTATTTGATCAAGTTTGATGATGATTGACCGGGTTTTGTGGCGGTTAGGCGTCGCAGAGCGCCAGAGAGCGTTGTAAGAGTGACTCTCATGTATGTTCGATGACGGTTCGGTCAAACTCAACGTCTTTTAGAACTGAATCCGAGCAAATTTTAAAAATTTTTCCCGGAAATTTTGAAAAATTGGAATTTTTCACAAAACTTTTGGATATCGACGGTGTAAGTCGGCAATCACATAACTCGGTTTACGGCGTCGCAGACTTCCTGTCACACTTCATTGTTTAAACGGAAAACTACTCAACGACAATTCTTTGAAACTGTCGTGATTTTTCGTCTCTGTGTGAAGAAAATTCTGCAAAAACTTCAAGAAATGATATCAATTTGTTTTCCTTCAAAAAAATATCATAGAGATGGAGATTTTCAGACACCGCAAACGAGTTATGTGATTGCCGACTTACACCGTCGATATATGAATTTCTGGGACCCCAGAATCTTCGGTAAAATAGAACGGCAGCACCGGTAAGAAAGGACTCAACTCCATTTATAGAGAGGAGTCTTGGGCTCTTATTGAAAGTCAATTTCTATCTCTGGCGGATGATTCCCATTCGTCTTGGGCACAGAATCATAGTTCGAAAATAGAGTGAAACGCTTCTCCGGGTTAATTCCGCGAGTCCTTTGAGATGCAAGCAGCCGCTCGAATCCGCGGCTATTAAGTAATCTTCAGCCGAGAAACTGCGCCGAGCAACCAATAAATTGTTTCTAGATGTCAGAGATGCAATTTCAGCCCCTCGGCGGAGGGGGCGGGGGGGGGGGGGGCGGGGGGGGGGGGAGTTACGGTTCTCCCGTGATATTCTCCCGGCCTCGCTCCTCCAGGTTAGGATTACGGGTCCTTTCATCTCTACATTTTATTATCTAAATGCTTATAAAAGTTCCATTTGCGTCACAAACAAACTTTTATGCCTTTCATCCAGAAACTATTTTTCAGCCCTGAATTTTTATGTGCGTCGTCCGGCCATCATCCGTCGATGTTTAATGCCTCTCGGCTGGGCCTCGAGGCTCTTTAAGAATGGACTCGCGCATTTATTTTGCCCCTCTTCGATGACTCAGCTCTGAGTATACGTACCGAGATCCGTCTTCTATCAGACGGAAGGACTACATTTTAACGTTGCAAAGCTATGCATGAGGGCACTTCCGATGCACAGTAAGGAAAAGTAACCAGAAGCTTGTGTTGATGTAGGAAGTAAAACACGAAGTAACACAGCTGCATGTCGGTTGATTTTTTTGTGCAAGTTTTCCCTGTGTCAAATCGACCGAATCTTTCTGTTGAAGGGACTAATAAATATTGGTGTTGAAAATCTACGACCTTGGTAAATATTTATAGCCAGCCTCTAAGATTGAACCAGGGTCACATCGGTGATAGTTAAATGCGCTAGCCACTCGCAAATCGAGTAGAGTTTTCCTCCTGCGGGCTGATTATTGGAACTGATAGACAAAGCTATAGACAAAGACGACAAAAGTGATTTGGAGGGATCCTATTGGTGGAAGCGGGTGGTGGCAATGGACATAGGAGGTAGGTAATAGACTAACTAACGGCAACCCACGAGAGACCCGACACTTAGTCTATCATTTTCCCCCTTAGTCTATAAGAACCACCCATTTCAACCAATAGGATCGCTCTATACTTCCTATGTCTTCTTTGTCTATCGCTTTGTCTATCAGTTTCAATAATCGGCCCGCAGCAGGTTCGCTTATCAATGATATGCGACCGTTCATAAAATGCATAACAGAAGAGGAAGAAGAGGAGGAAGAAAGGGTGAAGGATGAAGAGAGCGTTGTGCTGTTCTGCTTGTACGTTGTACGGAAGAAAGACCTACGTCACAAAAGTGTCACGAGGGGTTAAAGGAGAAGCACAAGGGTAAACAATTCGACTGTAATGTAGCAAATTTTATGAGCGGCCCCTATATCTCAAAAATTCTAGATCAGA